GCTAATCTAACGCGAGTGGATCCGTGTTGAAATGGAATAGACACGAGTTCATAAATTAAAAATGTTGGTTGATTTGGATCAGAAGCTGCAAAGAAGGAAGTAAAGACCAGTTTTCCAATTGTATTTCCATTTTCTGTTTTTCGGATTGAACCCCCTGGGATAAAGTCGATTCTTTGTTGTACGAGTAACTTGGAAATTAATGCAATAATGGGTATGGCACTGTTTGAATCATCAAACGTAATATTCGTTGCTTCAACAATAAGTTCTACTACGCGAGGTAAATCTTTGTGATGAATAAAATCTAAGTTAAGATTATTTTTCATTATATTTTCAATTGATGTATGGATAAAGTGCGCTTCCACGGCATGGATAAGTGCAGCAAGTCGTTCATTTAAAAAAAGTGTCATTGAATGAATTGTTCGCATTTTGTCGTCTGTTCGGCTTATCGCTTCCGATTGTTCATTAACCAGTTGAATTGTTTGATTTAAAGCAAATTCAGTGTTATTCAATTCGTGTACTAATTTGAGCTGTCCCTCATTTAAATGGAGAATTTGGGCCCGATTGCTATTCATAATTCGGTCTCTTGATTGTAAGGAATTGGCGAGAGACCTTACTTCACTTTTCAAATTCGAAGTCTGGATGATATTGCCTGTTGTTCCAGCAAGAGATGCTGCCCCGACTGCTAGAGCAATAATCACTGGAATCACTCGTTTCTGACGTACTTTGCTTATTTCGGAGTTTGATTTCGTTGTGTTTGTGTTCGTGGTGTTTGTTTTTGTTGTGATTGTTTTCGTTGTGATTGTTTTCGGTGTAATTGTTTTCGTTTTGTTTGTTCTATTTTGAGTTGGACGAAGTATTTTATTCATAAGTGCCAGACTTGTTTTTGCAAATTGGCTTTGACATCCAGGAATTTTTCCCATAGCCGATGCCGGAATTAAATAGCACATGTCTGCTACCATAGGAAGTGTGACTGTAAATGTAACAATTTTGTTAGAAGGTCTGTATTCGGACATATAGTGTAACACTAATCCTGATGCAGTATGAACAATATCAGATTTTGGTATCTCCAAAGTATGTGTACTTCTTGTTATATCAAACTTTATAATAGTTATCAGTAATAACATCATGAAGGATAATTTTTTAATTAAGGCCATTAGTTCTTTGATACAGTATAAATATTCTTCTCGCGACTATCGCAGTAGTTGCAACTCCTGTAAATGTTTCTTTTTCTTTTAAGTTTTTTTTTTTTTTTCGTTCTATGTTCTTTCTTTGTCTTCTGCACTTTCGCTGTTGGTAGATTTTTCTTCTGTAAGTTGTCTGAAAATTGCGTCCTTGTCGATGAACATTATTCATGACAAGGTCTATCTGATTGACAGTATCCTTGGCTTCACCTGCCAGTTATGTTAACACCGTTCCCTTGAAAGATGTTATCATGGGCCTTCGACCTGGTCCTTGTCTGCTTTCGTGCTAATAATATTATCCTTGTGTTTGTCTGTTACTTCCCTTAATAGTCTTCGTGAATGTTGCGTCCTTGTCTTGTTAAATTGTATATTAACTGGTTTCTATTACATCCTTGAAGCGTATATAATTTTGTTGAGTTCTTATAACATTTTTTTTTTTTTTTTTTTTTTTTTTTTGAGGTGTTGAATATTTGATTTAATTTTTCTAATGGTCATAATTATGGTGTATGGGTTGACCGGATGTTATCCATACACATTTTTCTTAAATTGAAATATCAAATTGAATCTTGATATCGGGCTGGAAGTTGACGCTTCCGACTCGATTTCCGTGGTAGGCTCGGTTGTTCTGTTGTAACTGGTGCTTCTTCTATAATTGAATCTTCAACATCTGTATTTGAATCTTGATCCGATGTTCTGTGAACTTCGTCATTTAAAATTAAATCGTCAATAATTTCTGGTTCCATATTTTGCATGTTTTCTGCTATCGTTGATGTTTGTTCATCCGGAATTGGTTGAAAATATTTTTTCACTCGATCAATGTTAGTTGCTCCTAAATTCACACCATCGCTTATTCGACGTACTATAAATGTTGAAGGACCAAGTTGTTCTACTAGTCGACATGGACCTTGATATTTCGGCTGAAACTTTCTACTTAATAGAACTTCACCTATTTGAGGCGTAGTTGTTGCAATCCATACTAAATCTCCAACGTTAAATTGTCGTTGAGATGTATGTTGATCATATTTTGATTTCTGAATTATTTTTTCTACTTCTGAATGTTCACGAACGAAGTTGTATGTGCTTCGCAAGTTGTGTATTAAATTTTTGCGATATTCATTAATTTGTAAAGAATCGATTGATGTTGGTGGTGGACCTTGTGTTGTTTCACCAATTAGTAAATCCATAGGTAATTTTAAATCTCTACCAAACATCATAAATGCTGGAGTTTCACCAGTAGTTTCATTTATAGATGTACGAATAGATAGAGCTAATTTTTGAATTTCTTTATCCCAAGAATGAGGATGTTCGTGTGCAAAAATTGCTAACATCGGTTTCAAGGTTCTGTTGACTCGTTCTGTTAAATTGGTTTGTGGATGATAATTTGCTGTAAATTTTCGTTCGATTCCTAAAGTGTCACAAAAATGTTGAAAAAGAAGAGATACGAACTGTGGACCATTATCCGATAAAATAAAGGTTGGCATGCCGTATCTTGTAAATACTTCATTAATGAGTATTTGAGCAATGTCGATTGATGTTGTTGTACGTAAAGGAAATAATTCAATCCAACGTGTAAAATAATCAACTATAACGAGTAAAAATCGTTTTTGTCGTGCTGTTTTGGGAAAAGGACCCATAATGTCTATGCCAATGGTATGCCATGGTTCATTAACAATATGAGTTTGTAACGGGTTTGCTAACGGTATATTATTATATTTAAATTGTTGACAGGCTTGACATGACGCAACATAGTTATATACGTCTTTACGCATTGAGTCCCAAAATACACGGGTAGTTAACCGAAATAATGTTTTCTGTTGACCACCATGACCAGCTGACGGATGATCATGTGCCCAAGATAGTAATTTCTGTTGCATAGATTTCGGAATAACCAAAAGACGTTTATTACCAATTTCCCGTTGGTTGTAATGTCTATTTGAATTTTTCACTTTGTATAAAATATCATTAATTAGAACATAAGGGTTACGTTTGTCATTAAATATCGCTCTATTTCTATTTCGTAACTGGTCGATAATATATTTTAATTTTGGATCTGTTTGCTGTTCCGTTTTGATTTCATCCAGAATATTGGTATTTTCCCATAAATTAATTGCTGTTTCTATTGTTAATAATTGTGGATCGTTACTATTCGTATCTAGTATAGGGTTTCGTGAAAGTGAATCGGCATTGGCATTTTGTTTTGCTGGACGATAGTTGATACCTTCAATTTGGTATGCTGACAGTTTCATTGCCCATCGGGCTAAACGACCTGTTATATCTTTAGTGTTTCGTAACCATTGAAGAGCTTTACAATCTGAGCGAATGAGTATTTTGCTTCCTTCAATATACACCCGGAAATGTTTCGTCGCCCAAACTATTGCAAGTGCTTCTCGTTCGGTTGCTCCGTATCTTCTTTCAAGTGCAGATAATGTTCGGCTTGCATAGGCAATTACATATTTTTTACCATCATATTCTTGAGTTAGAATTGCGCCTAATCCGTATTCACAAGCATCTACTTCTAATATAAATAGTTGTTCAAAATTAGGAGTGTTCATAATGGGTGCTGTTGTCAATTTTTTCTTTAATGTATTAAAAGCTTCGGTACATTCGTTGGACCATCGAAGATGATGATTACCGGTTACTGTAAAACGTAATTGTTTAATGAGTGGTTCGGCAATTCTAGCATAATTTTGTATAAAACGACGATAATATCCGGTAAGACCAAGAAATGATTGTACATCTCTAATTGTTTGTGGTCGTGGAAAATCAACAACTGATTTGACTAAGTCTGGATCAGGTTTAACACCGTCACTAGTAATAATATGTCCGAGGTATTTCGTTTCTCGGCGACAAAAATGACATTTTGAAGTCTTTAATGTTAAATTCGCTGATCGTAGAGCTTCAAATACGCGTTTAAGATCTTCTATGTGTTGTTCGAAAGTAGGAGAATATACAATTACATCATCGATATATACGAGACAGCATTGCCATTTAAGACCAGCCAGCACTATATCCATAAGTCGTTGAAACGTTGCTGGTGCATTTGTCAAACCATATGGCATCACTTTAAATTCGAACAATCCTTTGTGTGTAATAAATGCAGTTTTTTGACGTGATTTTTCATCCATTTCAACTTGCCAATAACCTGTACGTAGATCTAATGTTGAAATAAATTTAGCTTCTTGTAAAGAATCAAGGGTATCATCGATTCTTGGAATTGGATATGCATCACGAATAGTCATTGCATTTAATTTTCGATAATCAATACAAAAACGAAGTGTTCCGTCTTTCTTTGGTGCTAAAACAACTGGAGAGGCCCAAGGGCTTTTTGAGGGAACGATAATGTTATCTTTAAGCATTTCTTGCAGATTTTCTTCTACAACTTGACGTCGAGCCGGTGCAATACGATATGGGGGTAAATTGCAAGGTTGCGACGCAGGTAATAATTTTATTACGTGTTTCACTTTGCTTGTTTGACCAGTCTTCTCATTAAAAACATCAGGAAATTCTTGAATTACATTCAATAGTTTTTGTTTTTGAATATCATTTAAATCAGTTTCGGCTAAATTTGGTTCAGTAGATTTAATACTTTGCTTGGAGTTATTCGAAGTTAAATCCTTTTGATTAATCATATTTATTTGAATTTGATTCAATCGCTTCATATACGCTAATGCTTGACCTGGATGTATCATTATGGCTCTTCCTGTGAAATTTGCAACTTCAATTTCTAAATTTCTTTGAGGATTAATTATGCCATTAGCAACACATGGCGTGTTTTTAAGCGATGTTACTTCATAGTCATCACCTTCTTGATTTATCACCAAAAATGGTTTGTTTGGACGCACACGAATATAAGCTGTGTGAGTAGATGGTATTTTTAAACGTTCGTCAGCTATAAGAATATACTCGTCATCATTCTTATATTGTTGCTCATTGTGATGTCGATTGAATCTGTAA